GACCTTCTGTCTGCGCTTTTGAGTCTTAGTGAACAGTCACTGAACGCAAAGGGCTGGAGAATCCTTGTTCTTCCCTCGATGACTTTTCCCAGTGTGGCAGATGGCCCAGAGAAGGGGAAGGCGCCTCCGGGGCACGCGGCACCTGTAACAGCCACTCACGTTGGTCACTCCTGGTTTCCTTCACAGTGAGGCTCCCTCTGCTCCACAGCTCAGTGCTTCCTAGGGCGGTCTGGGGCCCTGGTGTTTGGAAATGACTCACAGACGGTGCCGAACGTCTTAGGAACTCATGACCTGCCTGCGTGCAGATGGCATAACTCTTCTCCGGATCTCACTTTGACCTTATCTCTCCGTGTGTGTAGAGCAGGATAGAAATGTGTGTACAGGGGTGTCTGCTGCTCCGTGTGTGTCTACACACCAATGTGAGCGTGCATGTTGACATCGGCCCCTTGGACTCTGGCCTGTGCCCACGATTTCTACAGCTATAAACGTTAGAGGAACTTCTACCTGCAGCAAAAGCAGTCACCTTTCAGAGACGTCGCAGGCATCCTCCTGTCATCTTTCGGAAAGCACGAGATTGGGCATGTGGAGGAAAAGCTGCTCAGACCTGAGTAGGACAGAGGACTTTGGAAGACTTGCTCTTTGGCCAGAAAAGTAACATTTGACTCTAAGGAGGGAAAGCAGCTTCATTTGGGACCTTGAGCCCAATCAGATCTGCTTTCCCTGGGGCATGCCTGGGCATCAGCCCGTGCTCCTCGTGCTCTTTGTGCTCCTCGTGCTCTTCGTGCTCCCCATGCTCTAGTGCTCCTAGTGCTCCCGAGCCTGCACGAAGGGGTAAAGCGAGGCAGGCCAGAGGGCAGAGGTGGCAAACCCCTCAGGAACGCATAGTTTTTTCTCTTTTCAGAGCCCCACAGTGGATCCTGTAGAAAAACTGCTGAGCCCCTCACTCGATGCTCTTGAGAAATTAACACAAGTGACATTTCTGCTCCCCTAGAGGGCTGGCTTTCACGAGGTCCCCCTCCTTCTGGCAGCCCAATGACAATTGTTCCAGTGCTCCTGAGTCTGAGGATGATTCAGTTCTTAAGGTTTCTGGAAAAGTATTCGCCCCAGCCCTTTAGGAACCAAGTCAGTATTTTTTTTTACTGAAAGCCTTCTGGGAGAGCCCAGCTGATTACTTCAGAGGGAGGCCTGGCCATCCATCGGTTTGGGGGTGTCACGTGGCCAGGGACCCACACTCTCTCCAGGCAGCCCAGTGCTGCCAGGTGAGGAGTGTCTTCCTTTTTCGTGTTGTGCCCAGGCCTGAGGCCGCGGGCGACTCAGGCCCAGCTCACAAAGCAGCCTGGCCTCTCCTAGGAGATGCCACACTAGCACGCTTCTGTCTTTCCTTCAGAACCTGCTTCCTCCTTGGCAATGAGGCGCAGCCCAACCTCCTCTAGAGTGACTTCGTTTCTGCAGTCTTAACTGATCTCAGGGGTGTCAGCGAGGTGTAGGGGAGGAAGGGACAGAGATGCTGGGGGGTGGCCAAGAGGACAACCACATCCTCCGACATGGCCTTTGGCGCAGAGGTTAGGGACCATGCCTGTCACTTGTGGGTATTGTTTGTTACTGTTTGTGTATTTGAATAAAGTCTGAAATGCTGTGACCTTTTTTTGTCAATAAAGACAAGAAACAAACAGCCGAATCTCCTTGGTTTCCTGTCACTACTGATGATTCTCAAACTCTTCTCAGGAGAGGAGTTTCTCTGCACCTTTCCTACCTGGGCTTCTTAGAAAGTCCTAGTTTCTCCCGCTGCTGAAACTGCCTGAGGGTGTGTTGGGCCTTACTCCTCACGACCAGGAGAGTGGTGAGGAACAGAAGGTGAGACAGATGGTCTGCCCACCAGGAAGCTGGGAAGAGGAGGGGAAGAGTAGAAGACCATTTTTAAGGGGGGAAAAAAGTCTTCCTGGAAGAGAGTAACTGACTAGGTGTCCATTTTTCTCTGCATGGTAGAGAATGAGGAATAAAAGTGAGGTGAGTCGCCAGCAAGCCAAGTGTTGGTCACTTAAGGCACCAGGCAAGGTATGGGACCCTCAAAAGGTGTTAGTCTCCCCCCCCCCCCCCCCCCCCGCCATAGGGTGCTTACAGCTGGGGAGACGTGTATACACACAGCGAACGAGGTGTGTGTTTGTACCAGCCAGGGCCCAATGGGGGACAGACCACAGCAGTTAACAAGTGGTAAGAAGAGGAAAGGGCCCCCAGGCCCACTGAGGTGTCACAGATGGAGTGACTGCGGGATGTAGTTATTGTTCTAGGGCAGGAGAGCCAAAGGAAGAGGTTGGGATTATTACAAAGTAACAGGCTTGGAGGAGGGGCCGAGGGGCCGCATAGAGGAGATGCTGCGGTCCCAGGGGGCGCTCAGCGAGACTGGTCGTAGGACCACGCTACTCCTGGAACCGTTCTAGGACCACACTCCTGGAACCAGCTCTTGCTGCCAGAGCAAAGCTGAGGTGCTGTGGTTTCTCCGTTAACCTGAAGAAGCATGTCCCTTCTGCCCCGCCCCCCCGCCTCCCCAATCTTGCAGTCCCCCTCTCACGTTCCCCATGGGTGCACCTGTCCAGGACTCAGCTGTTAAAGATGCACAGAGCAGAGTCTGGAGGGTGGCTTGGAGCTGAGACGTAATAGCCAGCAGCTTGGGCTGCTCAGCATCCGTATACACGCTCCCACGCGTATTTGAACTTACAATGGTAAAAACAAAACTTCATGTCTCTACGTAACAAGACGCAGCTACGCGTTACACAGAGGTGATCTTGCCCTCTGCCCAGTGTGAAACACAGTGTTGATTGCCAGTGTTCCCCGGTCTGAGAGACAGTCACATCGATTTCTGGGCTAGGTTAACTACTCCTCAGGCTGGCTTGGTGGGTTAGACAACACCTAGTTCATATCAGGCAGGTCAGGCCGCATGGTCGCTTGATGTCCCATGGTTAGGTAGGCTCTCAAAAGGAGAAGAGTTACCTGCAAAAGAAGGCAGGGCGATTTTCCAAAACGCTGGAGTTCTGCATGGTAATTCTCCAGTCAGGGCTTGCTGGAAGCTCCATACAGCATCAGCCTTTGCAATAGATCATTTGAGTATTGCTGAATCTGTTCAGTCATAAAGCCCCAGTGGCAGCTAAATTTCTAGTAAGAATCACACCCCATAGATTTCCATCGGTAAACCTTTCCCTTGGAGTGAACTATAACTCTGGTAAGCCAGGTTAATTCTTTGATGAGCTTTCTTTTCCTTTTTCTTTTTTTAAGTTTATTTTGAGAGGGAGAGCACATGAGCAGGATAGGGACAGAGTGAGAGGGAAGAGAGAATCCCAAACAGGCTCTGCACTGCCAGCATAGAGCCCCATGTGGGATGCGAACTCTTGAACCTCAGGATCATGACCTAAGCTGAAATCAAGAGTGGCGCTCAACCTACTGAGCCACCCACGCGGCCCAATTCCTTGATGAGTTTTCTTTTTTTTTAACGTTGTTTTATTTATTTTTAAGACAGAGAGAGAGAGCATGAACGGGGGAGGGTCAGAGAGAGAGGGAGACACAGAATCGGAAGCAGGCTCCAGGCTCCGAGCCATCAGCCCGGAGCCCGACGCGGGGCTCGAACTCACGGACCGCGAGATCCTGACCTGAGCCGAAGTTGGACGCTTAACCGACTGAGCCACCCAGGCGCCCCCTTGATGAGTTTTCTATACAGTGCCATTAAATTGTATCTCGGTTTTGTTTTTATTTTCGTTTTTACTTTTTAAAATTTTTTTTTTCAACATTTATTTATTTTTGGGACAGAGAGAGACAGAGCATGAAGGGGGGAGGGGCAGAGAGAGAGGGAGTCACAGAATCGGAAACAGGCTCCAGGCTCCAAGCCATCAGCCCAGAGCCCGACGCGGGGCTTGAACTCACGGACCGCGAGATCGTGACCTGGCTGAAGTCGGACGCTCAACCGACTGTGCCACCCAGGCGCCCCATTTTCGTTTTTACTTTAAAATGTTTTTATTAAGATCATTGTTTTCCATGAAATGTTACCATGGAAATTTAACTCAACCTAACTAATTCTAGCTCTTGCCCTTACGGACTGTAGCTTTTGCCTTTGTGGGCTTTCTTTTGTGGCTATTACCTCCTCTGTATTTATTTTCCCCAAGTCAAACCTGACTGCTCAGAATCAAGTCTCACATATCTTAATGAGTGTATTTTTAGCTGATGTCATTTTTCTGTTAATGATTCTAATAAAACAACATGGAGAGAAGATCGTGTGTGTCTTTTTTTTAACAGGAATTTATCAGAAACCTTTTTCGTTGTATATTTATTTTGAGAGAGAGAGAGCAAGTGGGGAAGGGACAGAGAGGGAGGGAGAGAGAGAATCGCAAGCAGGCTCCGCACTGTCAGCACAGAGCCTAATGCAAGGCTTGAACTCACAAACCATGAGATCATGGCCTGAGCTGAAGTCAAGAGTCAGACGCTTAACCCACTGGGCCACCCAGGTGCCCGGCAAACATCATTCTTAATGGAGAAATGTTGAAATATTTCCTCTAAGAAGGGGAAAGGAGAGGCCTTCTATTTCCCATTTGTAGCCAACAAATGCTAATGTTTTGGAGAAAGACAGTGATGTATTGCAAGCTTTTCAGGGCGTTTATCCTATGGGGTGGGGGAGAATAGGAAACAGAAAGCAACAAAGAAGCAATGAGAGCCGTGAAGAGTCTCTCTTCCGCCTCGCTCATCCCTTTTCTCTTTCTGAGGATCAGAACCAGAGTGGAAGCAACAGTCTGTAGAATCACCAGTCGGACGATGTTGATCATTCAACTTTAGACCAAGAAGAGGCTTTGGAACATCATCTCCTGGAACAACCCTGTCAATTCACCAGAAAAGAATGTCTGGTCCAGACGAAGTAAAGGAGTTGCCCAAGATCCTCCTGCCACTTTGTTGCCACTTTCCTCTCCGGTCCCTAATGTGAGTCCCTTAGGTCCACTGCCAGCGGCTCCAGGTGCACCAGCGACCCTGCCCTGGCGTGAAGAATCACCCATGGAGAGGGCAGGCCACATCAGCACCCATAGCATGTCCGGTGGCCCACCTTTCGCTCTGCTGACATCACAAGCAGCATGCTGGGGCTGGTCGCGCTTGAATTGTGATGTCAGGGAACAAAACTAGGGGCAGCCTTCGAGGAGGGGGGCCAACTTGATAGGGAGATCAAAACACAGCAGCCGAAGGGAAAGGTGAGAAGGCAGCGGTCAGATCCCAGGAGATGGAGAGGGCTGGGGTGGGGGCACGCGGGACTGATGGGGACCCTCCCAACAGTTGGTGAAGTGGGACCAGGGCTAGGCCGCTGCACCTGAATGCCTGGGGGTCCTTTTCCATCCCACCGCAGGGCAGCCAAGCCTCTAGCCCTCGCTGACATGCAGAAAGTCTCACGTAAGTACTTGGGCTTCCTGCCTTTCGTCTGAAGGGCCAAAGAAGTGGCTCCTTTCCTTTCCATTGATGTGACTTCCTTCTGCCCACCCTCTTGCTCGTCCAAGGTTTGTTGCAGGGGTCAGGGCTGGGACACAGAGAACACAATCCCCATGTTATGCCCCGCCCCCCCCATGGGTTGACCAGTGACACAGTTTCTGTACCCTATGGGCAGAAACTGTTTCTATGAGGACTAGTGTACCCCTCCAAGGCCCCTCGGCTCCTGCCGTGGCTTCTTCGTGGCTTTGCTCTATCTTCTCAGGGCCAGTCCAGGACCACAAGCCAGCCCCGCAGCCGCCGGCCCAGCCCTCCAGCCCTTCCCACACTCAGCTCCTGATGAGTAACAGCAGTCTCCGCACATTTGAGGACCAAGTCCTCTGTCCCATCTGCCTGGAGGTGTTCCGCAACCCGGTCACCACCACCTGCGGGCACAACTTCTGCATGGCCTGCCTCCAAGGTTTCTGGGACCACCTGGCTACCGTGGGCGAGACACTGTACTGCCCCCAGTGCCGGGAGAGCTTCCCCTCCAGACCGCGCCTCTGCAAGAACGGCATCCTGGAGGAGATGGTGACCTGCTTGGCCCAGGTCAAGGGCCAGACCTTGGGGTCCTCACGGCCCCTGGCCGGGCCCAGGGACGTGCCCTGCGACTTCTGTTCCGCCCAGAAGCTCAAGTCAGTCAAGTCGTGTCTGCAGTGCATGGCCTCCCTGTGCGAGAAGCACCTGAGCAGCCACTTCGAGGACCAGATGTTCCAGGACCACGAGCTGCTAGAGCCCGTGTGGGATCTCAAGAGCCGCTTGTGCCGGAAGCATCGCAAACTGCGGCGGCTGTACTGCCGCACGGAAGGCAGCTGCGTGTGCGGAGCCTGTCTGCTGGAGGAACACAAGAACCACGACACCATCCCCCTGGAGGAGGAACGTGCCAGGAAGGAGGTGAGGTGGAGTGGGGGAGGGGTTGAGGAGGGGAGCGGTGGGGGAGGGGTGGGGGGTGGGTAGAAGCGGGACTCGTGGTTCCGAGTCTCTCCCTGAAAGTCTTTCACCAGCCCAGGCACACCTTTCCTTGGAGGGAAATCACGCAACCATCAAAGTGACAGTCAGGAGGGTGGACATGCCCGTTACATGAGAAAGGCTTGGTAGAAGGACAGAAAAATAATGCTGATTCAAAGGTTCACATGCAACCCAATGTTCATAGCAGCACTAGCAACAATAGCCAAATTATGGAAAGAGCCCAAATGTCCATCAACTGTGGAATGGATAAAGATGATATAATATATAATATATAATGCATATGTATAATATATAATGGAAGATATATATATACATATATATATATAAATAATAGAATGTTGGGGGTCAAAAGAATGAAATCTTGCCATTTGCAACAATGTGGATGGAACTAGAGTGTATTATGCTAAGTGAAATAAGTCAGAGAAAGATAAATATCGTATGATTTCACTATATGTGGAGTTTAAGAAACAAAATTGATGAATATAGGGGAAGGGAAGGAAAAATAAGATAAAAAGAGAGAGGGAAGCAAACCATAAGAGACTCTTAAATACAGAGAACAAACTGAGGGTTCCTGGAGGGAAGGTGTGGGGGAATGGGCTAAATGGGCGATGGGCGTTAAGGAGGGCACTCGCTGGGATGAGCACTGGGTGTTATATGTAAGTGATGAATCACTAAATTCTACTCCTTACACCATTGTTACACTATATGTTAACTAGCTCTGATTTAAATAAAATTTAAAAACTTTTTAAAGTAATAAAATAACAACAACAACAACAACAAAACGTTGGTGGGTTTGATGAACAAGGATCCAAAACTGTATGTGTGAGTTCCATGTTAACTTTTTTGCGTAGATAAAGGAAAGGCTGGAAGAAAACATGTCAGAGTAGAAATATGTCAGGTTGGGCAGATCCCCTCCTTTTCTCTACTTGCAAATTTTGTTTAATATAGGGAAATATTAAACAAAATTAGAATGTGGAAAGCCAGATTTGAACTGCTTTTTATAGTGGCACACTTCTATTTCAGGCATTCTATCAAATATATTTGGTAACAGTAATATTTCCACATAGCCACCCACCCCTTAATGGTCCACTGCAAGGAGCTCCTGAGGGCATGTAAGCCAAGTGGCCACACCGTTCAGCTCAGTGGACACTTTGTCCATAGTAAGACTTTGTCAACAAAGCAAGCAGTGGGTTGATGTACAGTCTGGCTTGAGCTGCTCATTTTGTTGTGTGCCAGCAACAATCCACTGGACAACACAACAATCCACTGGAACAACACAGTTCTATCACCTGTCATAAACAAGAACATGACTCTTCCCAGAACGGGTGGAGACTGGAGGCTTCTTCACAGAACTTGGGACACGGCGTGTCCCAGGCAGCGCCACCCCAGTGAGGTATCTCCAGGGCTCCATGTCTGATGTGCCCCTTCTCGACCCACTGCCCCCTCTCAGCCCACTGAATCCTCTTCAGCCCCTTTTTGTGATCTGAAAGCCTGTGGTCATCACTGTCAGGAACAGAGAACCTGATTCCTAAGAATGGGGAAAGGGCACCTGGGTGGCTCAGGTTAAGCGTCTGACTCTTGATTTTAGCTCAGGTCATGATCTTGGGTTTGTGAGTTCAAGGCCCACATCGGGCTCCACGCTGACAGTGTGGAGCCCGCTTGGGATTCTCTCTTTCTCTCCCTCTCTCTCTCTCTCTTTCCTTCTCTAAAAAAAAAAAAAAAAAAAGAATGGGGAGAGAGTCTCAGGGAGTGAGAGACCATGAGCAGCATGAGCAGAGGGTAGAAGACCCGGGCCATCTGCCCTTCAGCTCTGCCTTTGTCTCTCATATAGGCGTCTTAGGAATGTAAGAGGTATGTCTTCTCTGGGCTTGCAGAAGGGTTTCTCCAAGAAGGCCCTGGAGAAGAAAGAATCTCCACCTTTCTGAATCAGGGGCCCTTTCCTCCTCCCCCTGCCTCACCCCAGGTGGAGGTTCGGAAGGTCCAGGCCAGCGTGGAAAACCAGATGCTGATCATCAACTCTGACAGCCAGAGGCACCGGGGGCAGGTGGCCTTTCTCTCGGTAAGGCTGGCCCACCCTCTCCCAGGCCCAGGCTTTCCCCCAGTGCCCTGCATCTGGCTGAGGGGCACTCTCAGGGCCTGGAGTGGATGTCGTGGGGCCCAGCAGTTGGCAACAGGATGCCTAGGCAGGTTCCGGGCCATAACAGTAGGGGCTGGGGCTCAGAGATGCCTCTCAACACACCCTCCACAACCCGCTCCCCGCCCCACCCACAGAAATTGATCCAGACAACACACGATGAGGTGAACGCCTGCTTCTCAGAGATCATCCAGGAGGTCAGACAGCTGCAGATGAAGGTCTTGGATTTTGTCGAGAAAGAGGAGGCAGCCGCTCTGGGGAAGCTGGGCAGCTCCATCCAGCAGAGCCACAACCGGCTCCTGAAGCTGGAGGGGGACAGCATCTGGCTCCGCGCCCTGCTCGCCAACAGGAGCGACCAGCAATTCCTGCAGGCGAGCCCCCGCCCCCACTCCTGTCTCTGCCCCAGGCCCTGATCCGAACTCCACTCCTCCTCCACCCCCAGACACACCAGATCTGCTCAGACCTAGGATTAAGCCATCAGCGTTTGGGGCTGCAACTCATCATCTATTCTTCTGCCTCGGGGAGCCTCCTCACCCCAGGCCATGGGTCCTGGGCTTACACCAACACCCTTGGCTTCTTACCTGATGTTCCTGCCTTCGTGTCCCTGGAACAGAAGGGAGCATACCCTGGGATTCCTGGCACCTGCCACAGTCTAAGTTTCTCCAGATTCTCCCAGACCAGGGATGGGAATGAGACCAGACCAATCCATACAGCCTGGGATGAAAACCCCATTTCCTTCACCAGCCCTGGCCCAGTCCTGCAGCCTGCTGCTGTTGCAAGAGGGTACCAGGCAGGGTCACTGGTGGAGGCGTGCGTGACAGCAACCTTCTCTGAGGGTGGGGCCCAGGGCTACCCAAACCCTGTGCTCGGGAACTCTGAGCAAAGACCTTTCTTCAGCTGATTATCACATCCCCAGCAGATTTCTAAAGCTGTTGCTCACAGCGTCCACCCCTCCACACACACACCACAGGAAAAATGTGGCAAGGTGTTTCACTAAGCAACTCGAAGCTCAGAAGAAATCGTCCTCACATTGTTTTCTAATCCACTCTACTTAATGCACTTTGCCATACTTTTTGGCAAAGCCCTGATCTAAGACATCACAACCAGGGGGGGAGGGAGAGAGATGTCCAGGTTTGAAAACCAGCAATTTCTCCACCTGCCCCAAGATTCTGGGCTCGGTGGGGTCCCTGGCATAAGCAGGAGCTCCTGGCATCTGCCTGGGCCCAGGGCTAACGGGTGGTACTGCTGGCCACTCCCTGCCTCCAGGAGTTCCCCAGACTGAAGCACTTTCCCACCTGCTCGGAAGCCCTGATGAGCACCAACTGTGAGGAGAAGCAGAGCTTTCTCCAGTTGCCGGAGACCCTGGCGGAGCTCCGGACGCGGCTGCTGGACGTGGGTCTCAGCTTCATCAATCAGCTCCTCCTGAAGGGTCAGTATCTGGCAGCCTGGGGCCACTGGAGACTCACCTGCCCCCTGGGGGTGGGACAGCCCTGCAGGGCAGTGTTTGGGGTTCCAGGCACTGGTGGAGAGCCCTGCCTGCCCATGTGCACCTTCCCCAGGTGACGCAGCCTCCTGGAAGCCCATGCCCCTCTCTGAAAGGACACTGGGCTGTAAGAGTGTCCTCAGCAAAGCTCCTCAATCTCCTCCAGGCATTAAGATGAACTCCTATGAGTTGCTGCCCTCAGCTGTGGACAGGAAAACACTTCTCAAGTGTGAGTCCTCCGTACCGAGGTCCGAACCTAAGGGTGGGACCCCCGGGGGGCCTTGACTTCCCCAGTCCCCTCTCCATTCAGGCCAGGGCACCAGAGAGATGCCAGCTCTCTCTTGCCCAGACCTCGTACTTGGGACTGGAGACCTCAGAAGGACTCAGCCTGTGACTTCAAGGCCATGATAGGGAGGGGACTATCCTGTCCCATCCCGTGGGTGGGCAAAGCAGGGCCTTGCCCAGATGCTGGCTCTGCCCCCCTCCCTGGCTCTGGTGTGGCACAACCATTGCCCTCAGCTGGGGGCCTGCCAGTGTCCCCCCACTACCCCACCAGGGTTTAGCCAAGCCAGCTTGGATGACCCTGTCCGTTTCTCCTCAAGCAAGCTCCCTTTTATTGCTAGGCAATAAATAAATCGAATACATTTGATGCCTAGGCAGCCCCTCTCCTGAGCTGGGCTGGGAGGCAAATCCCAGGGACTTCTCTGAGATATCATGGGTCTCTTTGGTGAACCCCTGAGTCACCTCCTCCAGGAGCCCTTGACCTTCCCTCAATCCCACTCATTCTTGTGTCCTGAATAAATAAAAAGAGAGATTATGTTAGAGTCTAGTGGGGGGCAGGGAGGAGGAATTGGTTTCTCAACTACTCTAGAAAGGTAGACCTTTGGGCAGCACCCAACTCCTTCCTCCAAAGGAGGTCAGTGACCTGGGGCCAGAGTTGCGGACTGAAAAAAGCAGGGGCGGGGCGGGAAGAGAAGGGCCAATCCCAGGAGATGGGCAGGGGGTGGGAAGCACTTGGTGACTTCTGTGCAGATGCCACGCAGCTTAGCATGCTCTTCGGCAGCCCTGGGGGCCGCTCACCCAAGCTCCCTTACCCCCCACCCCCGCCCCCCGCCAGGTTACTGCAACCTGAACTTCGACCCCACCACGGCCAGCGAGGAACTGTTCCTGTTCAAGGAGACCCACTCGGTGCTGAACCTGGGCATCCTTCTGGAGCCCTTCGCCGCGGGCGGCCCCTTCCCCGGCTTCAAGCAGTGGCCGCAGGTGCTGTGCTCGCGCGGCCTGTCCGAGGGCCGCCACTACTGGGAAGCTGAGGTGTCCAACTCGTGGGTGTGCCTGGGCCTCACCTACCGCCGCAGCCCCCCGCTCGGCGGCCGCCCGCGCCGCAACATCGTCTACCTGCTGGGCCGCAACCCGTACTCGTGGTGCCTGGAGTGGGACTCGCTCAAGTTCTCCGTGTGGCACAACAACACGCAGACGGTGCTGCAAGGCGGTTACCACCGCACGCTCGGCGTGGCGCTCGACTGCGGCACCGGCTGCCTCTCCTTCTATGGCGTGGCGGGCGGCGTGAGCCTGCTTTACCGCTTCCTCGTCTCCTTCCTGGAGCCGCTCTACCCCGCGGTCATGGTCAGCAGCGGCGCCTCGGTCACGCTCAAGCAGCGCCCCGAGGCGGGTGTAGGCGGCAGCCAATAAAGCTGGACTCCAGCGCTGGGCTGGGCCCGCGGGAAGGGGCGCCAGGGACGCGGGCCGCCGGAGGTCGCGGCCCCCGGGTTGAGGGCTGGGGTGGGCGGCGAACCGGCCTCCCGTCCGTCCCCCTGACCCGCTGGCCCGCTGCCGGGTGTTCCCGGGAATCCTAGGAAACAGGCAGACCCCTCCGTTCCCGCAGCCATGGGAGAAGGAAGGGCTTTGAGCCAGGATGGAGTCCCACACCACTCCCCTCCCGTGGGGGGGGGGGGGGCTGGGGATAGTCCGGTGGCCTCCGGAGGGTGGGGGGGAATTCCTGGCCCGGTGCACAGCCTCCGGCTCTATGCCCCCCCTCCCCCTCCCCCCCCACCCCCCCACCCCCGGGCCCATCAGAGGCCCCTGACTTTGGTTCTCCAGGCGAGTCCTGGCTACTCAGCATCAGGGGCCCAGGGACAGATCCCTGTCCCCAAAGGCCTCGCGGGTGGCTGCTTTCTATTCCTCCCCTCCAGGAGGCCAGACTGAGAGTGGCACCTCACAGATGGGTTAGGGGTGTTCTGTCCCAGTTGCTTAACTGGGGGCTGGGAAGTTAAGCCAAAGAATCCAGGCTGATCTCAGGCCCAGAGGAAAAAGGTGAGGGCCTACTGCCCAGAGCAGGGCCTGTCACACAGCTGGTGTCTCATAGTCTGGGGCGGATGCGGAACTGAGGCTATCCACTCTGCACCGTCCCCTGTGTTGCTGCAAGCTGTTTTCCCCAGCCATCTGCCCAGTCCCAGTGCGCTCCACCCCCAGAGTATAGCACTGCCCAGCAGCAAAGGGGCTGCTTCCTCATCCGGGACCCTGCAATCCCGCCTGTCCAGCAGAGGGTGTGGGAGTCAGCTCCAGAGGCTGGGTCGCACCAGGTTACTGCCTTGCAACCCTGGCAGGAGCATGACTGGAGACTCAGCCCCTCTGGCGAAACCACGGCAGCATTTCCAGCATCAACCAGCCGCTGGTTTCTCTGGTTTCTCAGGTTGAGTCTCTTGGGTTAATGATTGGCTCTGAAAAGGAAATGATACAAGTCAAGGGAGAAAACCCCTGGGGCAACATAGTCCAGAACCAGGCCTAAAAGCACCCCATGGGGGTGTGCCTGTATTCCATCCCCACCTGGCCTGTTGGAAGAGAAATTAGTGACCCTGGTTTTCCCATCTGGAGAGGTCATTGTGGGGCCAGGGTGGGACCAGGCCCAAACAGATGTGGGGGGGGGGGGTGCCCTCAAGGTTTTTCAGAGGGAGGCACCCTTTGGCTCTTCTGAGCAAGCTGTGGCTGTGGTGTCCTGCTGACCTTCCTTTCTGGAGCCTTCGCTCAGTACCAATTCCAATCAATCCCCGCCCCATCACTCTTATTCCCCAGGGGCTGTTCCCCATGCTGATTGGTAGGAATGAAATGTAAACTTTTTCCTCAACGTTCCGGAGCAGCCTTTCACATCCAAATGCCTTAATCTTGGCTCCCGCCTCCAACCTTCGTTCTCCCTGGTTCAAGGGGCTACAGGCTCCTGCAGCACCCGGCTGGGGTCCAGAAGTGCTGAGGAGGTGAATGTAGGGTACAAGGAGACGGGTCTGTGCTAGCTAGCTGCATGGATCTCCGAGTTCTTCCCCATCCAGGAGCTGAGGAAGAGGCTACCCTCGCCAGCCCCTCCCGGGGTATACTGTGTGATGCTTGAACCATCCTGACACCCTCAGGCACTTGGCATGAAATCCACATCTGAACTTAATAGGGGTATTTGCTTTCCTAAACAGCTCTTCCTTTGCAGTTCCTGGGCTGCTGGGAATTCACAATGAGAGTGCTGGGGGTCCTCAAATAGTTTTTATTTATTAGTATTTCGAAATATTTATTAGTATTTCGAAAAGCCAACCAGCAAGCCAGCCTGCACATCAGAGGGGCTAGCCAGCAAACCGAAATGTCAGGGTCTCTGCTCCCGGCTCAGCATGCGCCTCGTGGAGGAAATATAGAGGGGTCCTTCCCGGTGCAAGATCAGCCAGTGCTCTTGGATAATCTACGCCTGTGAATCCCACCCCTTCCCTGGAGAGAAGAAGGGAAGAAGGGAAGAAGAAGGGAAAAAGGGAAGAAGAAGGTCTCTCCCTGTGGAGAGACCAGAGAGGGGACCGTCGCTGGAATGCCACCCACACACTTCTCATGCCTTCCTGCTCTGCCTTAGCACTCAACAAATATATTTTTTTTTTATTGTGAATCCGAGCAGGCTATAAACTAGTCTGTCTCCAAGAATTGCTTCACTTTAAAAATGCCCATGTTTGGGGCGCCTGGGTGGCGCAGTCGGTTGAGCGTCCGACTTCAGCCAGGTCACGATCTCGCGGTCCGTGAGTTCAAGCCCCGCGTCAGGCTCTGGGCTGATGGCTCAGAGCCTGGAGCCTGTTTCCGATTCTGTGTCTCCCTCTCTCTCTGACCCTCCCCCGTTCATGCTCTGTCTCTCTCTGTCCCAAAAATAAATAAATAAATAACGTTGAAAAAAAAATTAAAAAAAAAAAATGCCCATGTTGTACCTTACAAAAAGATTGTGTTCTTGTATTACTTGGGTAATTTTAAAATTAATCTTTTTGCATTTTCATAAAAGCAATTTTGCTTTTTTTTTTTTTAACGTTTATTCATTTTTGAGACAGAGCATGAATGGGGGAGGGTCAGAGAGAGGGAGACACAGAATCTGAAACAGGCTCCAGGCTCTGAGCTGTCAGCACAGAGCCCGACGCCGGGCT